TATTGTGACTATTATAAAAACACTAGCTGATGTACCCATTCAACACATGCAGAAGACATAGGGGGCTACTAAGAAGAATTTAGAAGTCTATATATTGTGACTATTATAAAAACACTAGCTGATGTACCCATTCAACACATGGAGAAGATATAGAGAGCTAGAACCATTTGCATGTCTTTCAGTATCAATTCTTCCTTGCTTTGTTTCTTCAGAAGCTTCATTTGATCATGACAATTGTTTCCCTCTGCTTCAGTTATCTTAATATTTGCTAAGTGTTCTTGATTTTGTCATGCCATCCATCTACTTTTTCTTTCTCTTGCTGAGTGGCCTTTTCTTTCTTGCACATTTTTCTGAACTATTGTTAGTTTTATTCAGAATCTAAGTTTAGAATTTATTTCATAGATGGTGTTAGAAATGTTCAATTGAAATGAAGAAAAACTGAGGTGGCTTGATGCTGTAAACGTGTCACCTTTTAATTTAAATGGACAATCAATATTTCAAATCTCTGATTTAATCTAAAATGATATTGAAAGAGCTTGCTGTAAATATGATCATTTATGAAAAAAAAATTAACATAAAATCCCGACTTGACTGTGATTTGAATGCAAGACTTCCACAAGAGAGTTAAGCTCTGTAACCACTGAACCACTTTGACATCCAGTGTTTGAAGTCCATTGCTAACAAATATTAATTTGAAGTATCATGGTATTTGTGGTTTTCTAAAGATTGAAAGAGTTGGTTCTAAACATGATCCCTTATTTAAAAAAAAATTATAAAAATTTTAACTGTACTGATATTTGAATGGAAGACATTTGCTTGACGTTCAGCCATTCTAACCACTGAGACAATTTGAACTCTGCCAAGTGTTACCAAAAGACAGTGGCTTTTATATATTTTTATAGATAGATAATAGTGGTAATAGAAAAGAAAGATAAATAATATCAAAAGAAGATTGTACAAAAATGTTAATTGGATTTGTACGTACATTCTTTCCAACTAAATCACGCTTATTCTCAATAATTCCCCATGGAGCAATTCCAATAGTCACCACTCTACGTTGTCTTGGTGTTCTCTCATTCAGCAAAGCTTCTCCAACGTGTCGCATCACCCCTAATTATTCCAAAAAGTAAAAATATCATTAATATCAATGAGAAAGTGATAACCAAAATCGACTTGGAAATGATAGGAACGATATCCAGAAATGCACAGTCTAAGGTGTTTATTGGGTTTTTGTTGATCACAACTTTTTGGGGAGGATTGTATTAACTTGCACTTTTACATGGTTATATCGATGTTGCATAATTCAACAAATATTGAATCAGCAACAGTACTTAAAGCCAGCAGCTAGTGTTAGTGTGTTCTGATATTTCATTATTGTTATACTGATGTTGCATTGTCCAACAAATATTGAATCAGCAACAGTACTTAAAGCCAACTGCTAGTGTTAGTGTGTTCTGATATTTCATTATTGTTATACTGATGTTGCATTGTTGAACAAATATTGAATCAGCAACAGTACTTAAAGCCAACAGCTAGTATTAGTGTGTTCTGATATTTCTTTATTGTTATAATTGTATTGCATTGTCTAACAAATATTGAATCAGCAACAGTACAAGAAGCCAACAGCTAGTGTTAGTGTGTTCTGATATTTCTTTATCGTTATACTGATGTTGCATTGTCCAACAAATATTGAATCAGCAACAGGACTTAAAGCCAACAGCTAGTGTTAGTGTGTTCTGTTATTTATTTGTTGTTGCTTTCAGTGATGGTGTTTGTTGAAATGTTTGATGTATCTAATTTTTTACTTTTTAGTTTTATTTTTAATTATTATATTTTTATTATATGGTTTGCTTTTGTTAAACAAATTATACATTCACTGTGTTATTATCAGTTTTTAATTATTCAAAACAACAAATATATCATACATTTGTTATAATCCATGGATTTCACATTGGTAGATTTGTTAAACAAATACAGTATCACTGAACTTTTAGATAAGTTTAACAGAATTTTACCTGTATTAGTTCCAGCAGTAAATATCCATGCTCCAGTAGTTTTTGCTGCTTTAACCAACCCTTTTCTGAGAACCTGTTTTAACTTATGCTGAAGTTCAAAATTAGCTTTTCCTCCATGAACACTGATTAAAAGCTTTGGAAGTTCCAGCTTCCATTCTTCCGTGAGTAACTGAAGAACTAACTCTGGTCGAGTGTCATAACTCAGCCTAACATACTTGAAAATTAAAAAACAATTCTTTCTAAATTCCACTAAGGTTATTATTCATTTGCAATATGTTTTTAAACAAGCAGTTTATCTCTTCAAAATGAGAACTGATATCATGTTCCTATTAAACACTTTTTTAATCACATCACACTTACTACTTATAATAAAGTACAAGAAGATTTTAACAAATACATTTGTTCACCTTTCTTGCATCTAACTGTTATATCACTAAATATCTAATGGAACATTCATATTTTTTATTATGATGGATAAATTGAGCTTGGAGGTCAAAATATTTCTAAATTAGCCTTTTTTTTCACCATGTTATACCATTCGTCAGGTATGAGGGATTAATATAGATCAAAACCATTTAACACTAACAAGATCACTTAATCTTGAAGAAAATAAATTAATAAATCAAAAACAAAATATAAACAGTAACGATAATATCAAAATCTTATGATAAAATTAAGATGCTTACAAGCCAATAAAGTTTTAGCAGACATTTAAAAACAGTCAACATGTGTATGATCACAACACCCTACACAATAACTGTAAATCTTGCCATGATATTACAAACACACAACCAAGGAAAAATCTAACATAAAACTCACATTACAACAAAACCATTACATTATGTAAAAAAAAATCATTAAACAACTCTTTTTTTTTATGAAGATTAATATTAATCAGTGAGTTTTACCTGTGCTTTAAGAGGGTGAGAACTGCCTTGAAATTCAATTATTCCAAAAGCATCTGTAGGGTAGAGGGCTGTATGACGAGAGAAAGACCAGTGTTCATCTCCTGAAAACTGTGAGCTTCCACTGTGAATACTAAACCCTCCTAAGCCCTGAGTGGCTAAAGGGGAGTGCTGTTCAAAGGCCAGGCCACAACAACACCTGTTGGAAAGCAAAACAAGTGTAGAAATACAGTACCAGAGTTCACAACATCAAATTTATTGTATAACAGAAAACACCACAATACTATGTGAAAAGAAGGAAATCAAAATAATTATTTAAAACTTTACTTAATACTTAGGTACTAAAAACACTTTCTAGTGCACTGGCTGAAAACATTTAAATAAAGTTAATATAAAAGTATATGTTTTTCTATATTTGTTATCATTAATTTTCTCCTAAGAAACCATTTGATAGAAAATCATTTGTTAGATATTACTTTGTGTGCTAAATTCTCATCAAAATGTCTATTTGTGTTCATTGGTCAAAATTATCAATAAGATTAATATATATTTTACATTAACAACACATTCAAACATTTGTGATAAATATCATGTCAGACTAAAGATGTTTCTTTTCGTATACCTCTGCATTTGTTTACTGAGGATTTCAAATCAGAGGTGTACAAAAACAGCCCCTCAGATCTATCTTTTGTTTCCTACAAGTCATTGTCCATAAAGTTACTTGCTTAGTGACACACACACACACACACACACACACATACTGTACATGAATTTAAGTTATATTTATTTATAATGTTGTCACCATTATTTTATTACAACCAGTTAATTTACTGAAAAAATATAATGGAACGTATGGTCCAATGGCCACATTAATCATCCCCCAACAAGTACTCCCTCCATTATTTCTAAGAATATTAAACAAAGTAATGAAAACTATATCATAACAGTATACTAAAAAAAAAGCCATATTATAGAAGTACATAACTTGACAGAAATCAAATATTTTCTGACACAAAACTTCCTCAGCAGGGCTGTGCTTTGGCAAGCCCATGTAATATATGTTCTTTGGTAGACAATGTCCATCAAATTGTAAACTGTATCCATTGATGTTTTTTATTCAAATTTCAAAAACATTTAGCAAACATTATCACAAACATTTTTTGGAACCATAAAAAAAATTAAAATATGTTTGAAATGAAGAATCAAATTTAAAGACATATTTTTAGATTTACTAACAATTCAATTTTTATATTAATACAACATATTATCAATCTTTGGTGAAATTGAGTGCATTATTAAATGACTCTTGATCACAAAATCTTTAAAAAAATACAGATAAAAAGAGTTAAGCAATCATTAACATAATATTTTATAATAAAAATTGAAGAAAGAAACTAATATCTACTAGAAAATTTACTTTCTTATAAAATATCCTGGAGCAAGAAATTAAATTTATGTATTTCTAATGTAAATATAGAGTCCCTACTTTTAATATGACATTTCTGTATCAGCTGTTGATTAAACTATGCAGAAGAGTAACAAAAATCTGACCTGATTTGATCTTTGGATGAAGCAATAAACTTGCAACATTCCCTCTTTTGAAATTTGGTCTCAATAGCAAACTGAGTCTGTAGACATGTAACAGCAATAACTCTTATTAATTCTCACATTACAACAACCACAACTTTAGAAACAAACCCTTAATTGACAAAAATATTTGTTTGAATGTGTGACTTTCTGTATTAATCTACATATTTAACAACTGATATAACTAAAATGCATACATATGTCATTCATAATCTCAAAAGTATTTATAAATAATCAAACAACTGGTTTACTTTTAAATGTCAATTACGATAAGTATAAACAGAAAAAAGTCAACTGAAAATTTTGAAATGATAAGTAATAAAGGCCCTTAAGACAAAAGTTACAATTCTGATAAAAGAGTAAGCACACAGGATAACACACATAAGATACAATGAATTAAAAAAAAACTCAAAACCAACCATTCGAAATTGTCCAAATTTTTGGTCTTTTTTTTTTAAATTCAAGATGATGGTTACAGTATGATATAAGAATGAGAAGCCATAAACAACAAAACATAGTGAACTTTATATGAAAACTATGTCAACAAAACCAGTAGTGACACTCCCATGTACTGTACAATCAACATGTGTACTTCCTCCAATTATTTGGAAAAACTAACACATTAAAACATTAGGAAGTAAAACATAAAAAAGTTTCACTTTATACAGAGAGAAAGTTAAGAAAGCAAGTAAATAAGAGATACTTAGACAGATCTAGACTGAGTAATTGGCAGTTTAGCAGTGATGGGCAATTTCTAGAGAAGTCAGAAAACATTAAGTTAGTGATTGAAAGTGAAGTTAGACTGCGTGATTGTTAGTTTAGCCTTATTTAAACAATATTTAAAGTGAGTTTCACAGTGATATTGAATTAACAGAGATAAAGGATAATAATTAGTATTATCCAAGGGTGTTCTAAAGTAATTGAATCCGCCTGTGTGGACTTTGACAAATATGAGACAATTATTTGAAGTTCTGTATACAAATGAAGTAAACCACAAGAGAATTTAAAGGAATCTATCACAGATTGTGCAGTAAGAAACAGAGTAGAGAAAAAATGATTTATTTTGTCAATTAAGTTATAAAGTAACTGAACTAGCCTATGTGGATTTTTGACATGAAAAAATAATTATTTAAAGCTTTAAATAGAACTTTGATAACAAATAGTGAAACGTATTTTTGAATATATTATTTTAAAACAAGTGGATTGTGTGATTTCCATTTACTGTTGAAATTTATCGCCAACAAATCACAGACACTGACTGTAAAAGAATCCAAGCCCATACTCAAAACCTGACAATTGTGATACATATCTAACCTCTGTGGTTAATCATACTGACTGATTAAATAACACGTTAGACAACTACTGATAACACTGTTATTAATCCTGTGATATATATATATATCTAATCTCTTTAATTAACTATACTGACTGATTAAATAACAGGTTAAACAATTACTAATAACTGTTATTAATCCTAACAGGTTAAACAATTACTAATAACTGATATATATATATCTAACCTCTTTAATTAACCATATTGACTGATTATGCAACAAGGAGGTGACATAACTATTGATGACACAATAATCCTGTGATATATCCTAACTTAGTGAGTCTGTATCATATGATACATTTTAAAGATATGAATGCAAGTATCACTTTTAAAATGTACATGGAAAATAGGTACAACAGGTGTTTCTAGAAAATTTGTGGTGTCATTTCTAGTGCTTTTCATCATTATCCTTTTTCAATAGCTCAACAAAAGAATTAAATTCAGTTATCTATAAAAAATGATTTAATTAGATAAAATAGCACTATTAACACAGTGGTATGACCAGTTTATAAATTTCTGCACAAAATGTATAATAGTTGTATCTAAGAAATTATAATCAACTTATGTAATTCAATCAAAATTTCCTTTTTATATTGCTTTAAATATACTTACTGAAAAAACACAAAATACTCCAAGTAAACTTTTTTAGTCTAAACAGTGTTATGTTTTTATCCATGCTTTTTGAACAGTAGGAATGAAATATTACAGGAGTACTGTATTTCTGATTTAATTTCAAAATTATGTAAAATCCACTTTCATTTATCTTTATCATTATCAGGCAAGAGTTGCTGACTTAAAAGTTAACATTTCAAGGCTTTTAACTCGAGAAGTATTTAATTGTCAGTTTCTTTATAAGACTAGAATGTTTAAGGACACAAACAAAGAACTATAAAAATATTTAGAAAATAGAAGCAGTGAAACACAAATCACAAAAATCTTCAAACATCAAGTTATAATGCAATTGTATTTTTTAAGTTAATTCAATCATTCAACTTTGACCTATTATTATCAAAATACAACCAATTACTCATTCAGTGACAAGCATTTGCAATCACTTTTTATCAGATCTGCTGTATATAAATGGTCATGTTTAAAGATAAGTTCCCACAAATATAGTTTTACATACACAGCAAATAACTATAATTTCACAATAACTAAAAGAAGATTGTTAAACATTCAGTCTCCCAAGTTTTTAAATAAAAATCTTTGAATCTGTGAGTTATAGCATGCTTTTGAAAAATCAAACTATTTTATAATATTTTTTAAATAAATTCCATTGATTAAAAAAATCTTAAAGTATGATATGTCAACCTTTACAATTTTATATGCTTTAAAGTTCAAACAACCAAAGCTCAGAACAAACCTTTGTGGATGCTGTCTCCATAGTAACCACATGAGTTCTTGCGTGGTTATTTTCCACAGGAAAATTTTCCCAATCTGACAGACCCTTTTAAGTGTTCACATTTCTGTGCACTGCAAAAAAAAAGCATACAAATTTCTAATCAAGAAAAAACCATAGACATAATAACACCATTTACCAGGAAGAAAAATATAATGTTTCTTGAATAGCATTCCAAACAGACCCAGGAATGTCACCCAGACATAATGGTGGTCCTGGAGTAAGTGTTCAAGATCACTGAACCCAAATCTGTCTGAACCCAAATCTGCCTTATATTTGACACTGTGTTCTTACCTCCGTTTACAAAATATTAAGAGTAAACTTGATGCAAATGCTCAGGTACCACGGATGAGTGTCTTAATGTTTTTTTATTGTGGGTATGTTCCCCCATGAGGTAGCTATAGAAGTAACTGGTGATAATGGAGGAACTTGATGGGTACCTTATAACCTCTGTGAATCATGAAGGGGCTTTGAACACTGCAGCAGATCATGAGTATTCTATTCTGGTTATTTAAATGACCATACACCATTTGATGAAACTAGACACATTTAATCTCTTCATATCAACTTTAAATATACATCAATAAAAGTATGCAAGCCTTCTTCTACAATGTGTATTTGTGATGTGAAAACAAAATAGTACATCGTCAAGTATTTTGTATAATTAAAAAAACAAGTCTTACAAGTTTTATAATCCATTCCAAGTGTAATGAACCCAGAAAATAAATGAATTATTAATAAAATATTTAACACTCAACATTTATTTTTACTACAATTCCACTAAAAAGAAGCCACATTTTTTCTTAAAACAGCATACAGGTACTATAATACACTCATGACAATCTGAGATGTTATGCAAAAAAGATCAGTTGCATTTATTAGCACACAAATCAGTAAATAAATCATCTAATTCCACTACCAGATAGTTTTATTTAAATCATTTATTTTGGTTCTTTATTGTCCCTGCACTTAACAAAACTGCAGTACTTGTAACTTACAATCATGTATATTTTAAAAAATTATATGTACTTGTAACTTAATCATGTATACTTTAAATAACTATATGTACTTGTAACTTAAGATCATGTATACTTTAAATAACTATATGTACTTGTAACTTAAGATCTGTATACTTTAAATAACTATATGTACTTGTAACTTAAGATCATGTACACTTTAAATAACTATAAGTACTTGTAACTTAAGATCATGTATACTTTAAATAACTATATGTACTTGTAACTTAAGATCATATATACTTTAAATAAATATATGTACTTGTAACTTAAGATCATGTATACTTTGAATAACTATATGTACTTGTAACTTAAGATTATATATACTTTAAATAACCATTTGTACAGGTAATTTGAACTCACAACTTGTAATAAGTATCAATTTCTATTATTAAAAATTAACTAGGTACGCCCATGGATTACTAATACTAATAGCCTCTCGAAACTACATTATTAAAAATATTGCCCAACAAAAAGGCCTGACCATCTACACGACAAATGTACCAAAGAAAGAACACCTTTTGGCTTTAGTCTACTGGGCAAAATCTACAGAGCAGTAATAACAAACGAATCTAAATTATCATAATATTCTGGAACTACAAATTGATTTGAATAGCTGTATTAAAAAAAGGATATTTTACCAGTTTTACATTTACAAAACTTCAATTTATAAATATTGATCACAAACAATGCTTTAACTTTCTTTATATTTTTCCATATTTTCACAAGCACGTACCTACTCCAGTCAAAATACTAGAGCACTTACATTCATGTATCTAAAATTAATATATTTTAAAAGACGCTTACGTAATGCAAACTGTGCAGTGGAAAGTAAGTCTAAAGTACAAACTTAAATTTCGGGTTTTTCCTACAACCAGTACATACCGGAGTTTGATATCTCAGTCTACGTTAAATTCTAACAATGCTCGCCTAGACGTCGTCGTTGTAAAATGAAAATGACAAACACCAAGGCGAAATAGCTTTAAATCTTACAAGTTTAAGCACGTGATATATAATGGCAAAAAATACCAGGTTCGGTACCTCCAACAACTGTTATCACGCGATATGAGAAATTTGAAACAATGGTTATCATTCTTCACGAAAAAAGTTATGATAGCCATGGCACGTGACAAAACAGAAAAGCCCGGAAAGCACCTCGTTAGTATAAGATTAAACACAGTTTACACTCAATGTGACTAAAAGACTTAAGGTTAAAATTGTGTAATGAAATACGAATGTTTAATTGTAAAATTTACACTTTTTTATTCCAAAATCATGCTTGCTTTATTTTGTGTGACTAGGTTCTTGTACAGTATTTTATAAGCACGATGCTAGACGATGTCATGATTTAAATTCTCAGCTAGTTTGACATTCGTACAACTACAAGTTAATAAACACACACATAAGTTAATGATTCATCTATATATATTTAAACATTGTACCCAAATAAATCAACTATCCTATCGATATCTGTGAGTTATCATTATGGAATGTTGACTATTTTCTTACGTACATAACTGACTAATCTGACGACGAATTGGTGACTGTTTTTCGGCGTAATTAAAAAAACAAAAAACAATTAACAGAATGTAACCAGGGTATCTGTACGTTTATATCGACAGCATTACGCTTTTAAACTATTCCATATAAAACTTGCACATATAAAAACGAGAGAACAAAACCAAAATTGAGGTTTATTTTATGAAAATCTTAAAACTACTGCAAAGTGCTGGGATGAGTTTTACGAAAGTATCTTGCAAAAGAAGTCATTCCTACCTTCATTAACATACAAGTTAACAAATATATTTTTTCTGGGAATATTTAATGACAGGTTTTATATCTTAAATTATTTCCTACCTTTACCTAAAGTAAATAAGTACCTTAAGACAGAACTAAACATGGCTACCGCCTAAAATTAATTTGTTTGCTTTGTGAATTTCGCGTAAAGCTACTCAACAGCTATCTGTTCCCAGTTTTTTGGTGGTAATTTTGAGGGAACAATACCACCCACCACCAACTCTTGTCAAACCGAATGGTGGAATTTGCTCGTAAATCTTATAACGTACCCACCGCTCGAAAGTGCGAAGCGCGATAGAGAAATATATATATATATATATATATATTACGATAACGAGGCGCGAACCGTGTAACCTCGGATCCAGCCTGGCAGGGTAACGATTGAGCCGCGCTCGGCCTCAATTGCATAGACAAAAGGCGGAAGACTTTTGAAACGCCGTCATCTACACTTGTGTTTCTACAAAAGGCAGTTGCCATCCATTTAACAAAGTTTCAACAATGTTAAAATATGTGTAAGGCAAGATTTTCCCTTAGTGAAACCATGTTGACTATCCAACAAAATTCTAAACTTTGTTAAATGACTTTGTAAATCATCTTTTATTAGACTTTCAAAACATTTTCCCACAACTGATGCAAGACTAATAGGCCTATAATTACTGGGAAAATTTTTATCACCTCCCTTGAAAGGAGGAGAAACATTAGCCAACTTCTAATCCTTTGGCATCTGCCCACTATTAAGGGCAAGTGGATCATATATCCAATTCTTAACCTCCTTCAAACCCCTTGGGGAAATATTATCTGGCCCAGGAGCCTTATCATTTTTTAAATTTCCCAATTTTTTTAAAGTAGCAAGCTCAGAATTATAGTGATATGTTGTTCAATCTTCTTTCCATCTATCAACTGTTGAAGAAGAGGAATACTGCTTACATTTCCCTCAGTAAAAACTGAAGAAAGTGCATAATTTAATAACCCAGCCACCTCATAATCATCAGATATGAGCCTTCCTTTATCATCATTCAAGGGTTCTACTCCCATTCTAACATTTTGTTTACTCTTAATGTATTTAATGAAATCCTTACTGTTAATTTTTACATTTTCAGCCAACCTTTTTGATGTCCCAAGTTCTTGTTTCACCAACTTTCTTGATCTTCTGTAGTCTCCTGTCATACCAGTCAATTTATTATACTTTTCTTCAATTTTATCTCTTATATCCTTTGTGAGCCAACCTGGTTTTTTACTTGCAGCCACCCTTCTCTTTCTATAAAGAATATGTTTATCTTGCATATTTAAAAATTATCCACATTTTACCAGTGTCTCCAAATAACTCAGCTGCCCAATTCACAACAGATACTTTTTGTAACATCCCTTCAAAAAAAAACTTTGGAAATAATATTCAATATCTTAGTAAAACCTCTACTGCTTATGAAGGTTCACTAACAAAAGTGCTAAGGTTTTTTAAAGTAATGTTTTAGTTTTCTTGAAATACCCAAAAACAAGATTTTTAGAGTTATTAAGATAGCTCTTCCATCACATTTTCTTTTCTTGGATGTTTGTAAAACTCAGTGATACTGTAATGATCTGCAAGATAGGATTACATATTTTAATTTCTGATGCATGATATAAACAAAATTATAACAGAATTTTTTTGTGATGATTACCAAAGTTTATTCTTATATCACAAGATATACAATTGAACAAAAAATAAACATCACTGCCTTACAGTAGATATATTTATATCATACATGTACACAATATACTAATACAAACTAATGGTTTTGCATCTTATTATTCAGGATTTTTTACATCACTAGAATTAATGCACTAATGGATTAAAATGAAATATATTCCTAATAAAACCAACAGTTCACTTACTCAATTAGTTTCTTAATTTCATTCAGTTTAGCTGTAGAACAATTAAGCTAAAATCAGTAATGAATACCTTTCACCACAGTTTTTCAACATTATTGACATCAGACATAAGTACAGACATTAGGTCTGCATGGACATTTCTAATTCCACCAACTATTTAAGTCCTTTAACTCTTTAACAACATTAGCCATCTAACCCAGGAAAGGGGATACATCAACAACAAGGCATTTTACCTCTCCCCCCCCCCACTTATACTGCACCAATACAAGTAATAGTAAACAGTTCCATTTCATTGTCTGCTTTTATCTCACTATAAAAGTTTATTTAGTCAATTCAGTTATACAATGTTTCTTTTGTACTAGCCAATGACAAAGGAATGTTTATTGGTCCAA